AATTTACATATGATTGGTATTGTGGTGAGATTCTGTAAATCTGTTTTGTTTTACAACATTGTATCAAGTTTTATTGTCATGATTTCTGTCTTTTGGTTTCACTTCTTCACACACATACAGTTAGGAAATTCACAAGAATATCCCAAAAATTATATTGAGTCTAAGTCGAACGTAAAGTGGTATGATTGCAGACTTTTCACATGTTATTTCCTATTGGTCAATATTTACAGTTGTCCTAACTATAACCTTTACGTGTCGCTTTCCTACTGTTTAATATTCACGGTCATCTTAACTGTATAGATGTGCATTGTCTGTAAATTATTGTTGTTCTGCTTCTGACCCCATAAACAATTCTCATTTAACGGTTGTGTTCTGATTTACTGGAGTTTAGGGAACAGTATTGGGGTCGTACAAGATCTCTGAAGTTGGTCGATCGGTTGAATTTCGACTAGTCCTATCGCAATACACAATACACGCATTCAACTACACGTGTATTATTGTTAGTAATAGACATATCTTCAAAGAGCACAATGTTGGATCATCTGTGTTGTCTTCTGTTTTTCTTGCTACGACTAGGAAGGATACCGATCCGCAGTTACATAACACGATGCTAAATGATGTGTGTGACAAGAGAACTGAGGACATTAGACTGATCGAAACGTTTATATAGAATATTATTATTTCACTGTGTTTTTCGATGTATTCGTTTTACTCGAGTTTTAAACTTGTTTTTTGTATACCATTATTTTTGGATATTTTGGTTTCTGACTGCTGTTGGTTTGGTATTTGAACGGTTTTGCTCTGGTAACCTACAAAATTGAACGTTTACTTTTGTAATTGTTATAATTATTCTTCGATTGACTTCTGGGTCAACCATTTGTGAATTGCGAACGAACTTTGATATCTGAATTAAAGCTTGGTTCTATTGTCAATTTGGGTTTGTAAATGGCAGTCAAATCGATATACGGTACCTGAATAACGGAAGAGAGAGAACCAAAACGTGAATGCGACAATGATATTCAAGAGGTTTAAAAGTATTACATCACGAATTTGAAAATCTAATGAAGCTAAGGAATCAGAAGATTTCTAAAAGTCAAGAGTTGATCCCACCGACCATGGTCTTGTAAAAAAAGGTAGAAATCAGGTCCTACCAAGATTTTTGAGCTCCTAAGAAACAAACAATATATGACAGATATCGATGGTACTTAAGTAACTCAGTATATTCACCAGCGTTGATAGACACTAATTTGGAAAGGAGTCTTTGTGATCCCTAGGTCTCTGTTGAAAGAGGATTGATGGACGCTAAGCCAGCGCTGAACAAAAAGACGGTGCTCGCTCAGCGAAAGAGGGGAACGCCAACAGTCATCAGGACTGACAAATTAAACGTGGCAGCAGGAACTATCTTCGTAAAGTTAGTAAAAGACGCATTGGAACCACTTTCACCTTTCTCAAAGAGATCAAATCCTACTCAGTAATTGCTAGCAATTCAGCCGACAGAAAAATTCAGTTCTCTTTTGAATTGTGCTGTTGAAAACGAATCTAATAGCTATACTTATCGTTTCTGTGGCCAGTCGCCATGCGATTGGAGAACTACTATCTTGATTTTCATTATTATTTAAAGCTTTAACTAATGATCAGAATCAGGTTCAAATTGCCATGGACGATCGTTGGGCATAGCTGCTGCATTATTAAGAATAAGTCTGTGTTTAGACCACTACTGTCGCTGAATAAATCTTAATGAAACTGTCATATAGTGTATGAATTTGCTTATTTAATCGTCTGCTGCATCTAGAGTTGAAAGGTTGCACTCTGTTGAAATATTCAGCAGCTATATTATCAGATGTTAAATAAAAACATGAATAATTGAATTCTTGTACGTAACAAATGTATTCCATTGCACGAACTTATATGTCAGTGATAAATGTGTCAGATGCCACGTTTCATCGATGTATAGAGGATCAGTTATTACTGAGTAAAAAGGAGTGGTCAAGGACGCCCCAACCTAATAATCATCTCCATGAACAAAACAATACCAATTTCGTGGAATTGACACTCACAGTTATAAACCTCAGTGATTGAAAAGATACACTGTATACCGAAATATTTCATGAGGAACAATGTGTCATGGACCAAACGATCATCGGAAGACGTAATATTCTTGACAAGAAATTTGAGTGAACTGGTAACAGAAAGACCAATATGGGCCCTGTTCAAGATAATCATAAACGGATTTGAAAGGTTCAGTTTCGGTTTTTGATTTTTGGTGTTGTTTGTTCGAAAAGAATGCATATTTGTGCATAAATAGTGTTGCAACTATCCTCGAGCGCAGTTCCATTTTGCAATTCATAATTTGAATTTATAATGACTGAAATTGTGACGCAGGTCGTTGTAATCGATAAGCATATGATAGTCAACTATTTGAATCGTCCATGGAGGAAAACTCACCGACTCACTTGAGGTAAAGACTAGTATTAGGCACCTTTTCTCTTTCTCCTGGTGATCGACTGGATCATGAAGACGCCAACATCTGGAGGGGAGCATGGGATACGGTGGACAGTTAGGATGAAGCTGGCGATTTAAACTTCGCAGATGATCTGGCTCTTCCATCATACACGCAACAACAAACGCAGGAAAAAACGACCGGTGTAGCAGCAGCCTCAGCAGCAGTGGGTCTCAATATGAACAAAGGAAAAGCAAGAGTTTCCAGTACAATGCAACATGCACCAATCAAATTACACTTGACGGAGAAGCTTTGGAGGATGTGGAAACCCCTACATATCTGGAGAGCATCATCGATTAAAAAGGTGGATCAGATGCAGATGTGAGAGCGCGGATCGGCAAAGCAAGAGCAGCATATTTACAACTGAAAAACATCTGAAACTCAAAACAATTGTCAACCAACACCAAGGTTAGAATTTTCAAAACAAATGTCAAGGCACTTCTACTGTATGAGAAGGAGACGTGGAGAACTACGAAAGCCATCATCCAGAAGATGCAAGTGTTTATTAACAAATGTCCACGCAAGATTCTTCGTATCCGATTACCAGACACTATCAGCAACAAGTTACTGTGGGAGACAACAAACCAGATCCCAGCAGAGGACGAAATCAGGAAGAAGCGGTGGAAGTGGATTGGGCACACTTTGAGGAAATCACTCAACTGCATCACAAGACAAGCCCTCACTGGGATCCTGAAGTCCAAAAGAGAAGAGGAAGACCAGAGAGCACATAACGCCAAGAAATGGATACAGACATGAGAAGAATGAACAAAAGTTGGATAGAACTAGTAAGGAAGGTCCAGGACAGAGCGGGTTGGAGAAAGCCTGTCGGCGGCCTTAGCTTCATTGAGAGTAACAGGCGTGAGTAAGTAAGTCAACTTAATTACTTGAATTTAAAATGACTGAGATTGTGTCGTTGAAATCTATGACCATATGTTAGTTACCTATATGAGTCAGACAGTTCTTTGACCAACGGAATCTAATAAATGATGCCTAATATTTGTAATAAATGTCAAAAAAATGTGGTTAAAAACTATATACCAATGTTCCGCATGTGAGTTCATTTCAGTTTGTCATGATATTGCGACGACTCTACCTATAGCCCTATTTCGGTTATTGACGGTCCAAAGTCCGGATAAATTAGAAGGGTTGGGCATGCATTTACCAACACCATCCCTTGCAAATTAATTGTTTTTTATAAAAAGATTACGTTTAGCTAAACTACTACGTTTAGCATGTACTAGACATAAGTTAGTGTTATATCGTATGGGCTCGTAATATATATATGAACGTGCGATTGGAGAGGAGTGAATTTATTGATTGGACTCAAATGATACTTGAAATCGTACGAACAGTCTTGAGTACTACTCGGTCTTGCTATATGCTTAGCCCAGCCCGTTAAGTCCAGAACACAAATAACAGCCTCGGCAATATGAATCATTATTTACAAACATACTGGGTTTTTATACAAACTAAAGTAATCAATAAACTGATTATAACTCAAGAATCGTATGATATTAAATCAAAGATCAAAATAATTCTAATGATAAGAGAAACACGAATATGAATAGTTTAGTTACGTAATAATTGTACAATAGGAAAAAGGCATAGTACACTGGTCGATAAATAGTCCTTAGAGTTACCATTCATAATTCACCAGGGGATATAACAGTTAGACATTCTCTTATCACAATGATTCACTCAAATGTTTAAGCTCACAAGAAATGAGAAAATAATTCATTGAAATTCCAAAATAGACATAAGTTTTCTACTTGTACAGCAACACATTTATTAGCTTTCAAGTTCAGTGATCACTGTGGCGATTACAAATCTCTGTATGGATGGTGAAATCCTTACAATGTATAACATTTCACTTTCATTGAAGCGCGTCGTCTTTCTTCAATAACAGTCGTTGAGCACATACATCTACATAAAAAACACATTCACTCTCACTTCTGTGTTGAACAAGATAACTGTTATCTATATTGATCTTTATATCCATTAGCAGCTAATATGGCGGTTAAATAAAATCGATCCGGTTTTATTCGTAAGGTACAATTCCACATTCAACGATGTTGGAATAGTCCGACAAAATAAATTCTTTTAAAATTGATTTCGGATGCAAATATGTGAATTTAGACATCCAAACAAAACAGTTTTTGCTCATTTGTTTTTAACAAATCAAATTAAAACAATGCACCTTTGACAACCAAATTCAAAGACTATTACAAGCAAAAAAATAGTTTTCATCAATAGAGACCAGGATTATCAACCAACCATGGATGAATTCTAGCCGATTTTTCACGATAGCTAGAGCAATATGGCATAACGATGAGTTCATCTACCACATTGATTGGTTAAGAATAATCATATGATGTGATTAAAATAGATCGTCTTCATGGTCACTTGGAATCATATAAGCAGGTAGACACAGACAAACATTTAAAAATCTATATAAACTCTACAGCTTCTAACAGCAATTATTAACATTTGGAAGAAGAAAATGAGGTGAGTGTTGGCTTTACAGTTAAGGCTAATGAGTGTATTATATGAATTGTAATTTGTTTCAATGGAATAAGACTGGTTTGTTAATCTGAACCATTTTAGATATACTCTGTTATTCTGTCAATCGATCACTGTCTACTCGATAATCTTCATGATTTCGAGGTTTATCAAGTGCCATGAAATATGCACGAAACCGGAATTAGGGAAATACAGAAAAGTGATATTTGAGAATGATTCCTATGAATATGTAAGTAATCAGTCAGATTCCAATTCACATATTCAGTCTCACCATTACTACTACTCCCAGCTTATACGTTTAAATCAGCCTACTCCAGTTTTTAGTGGAAAGTTTGAAAAAGTGATTTTTTCACAGGTCAGTTAACTACATTTTACAATGGAGGTACAAATCCATATGTTTGCAAATTTTCAGAGTGTCGTCCCAGCATTCTTGATCAAATTTTACGATATTGACGTCGATACACTCAATGTAGCCAGTTTTGGTAAGAGAATCATTTTCTCTGAACTAACATTGTCACTGATTTTGTTTACACACACTTCATTCCATGAATCAAAGTTGCATTGTGTTCTCTAGTAAATCAGTTGTATGCTTTTCTGATATTCCTAACTTCTACTGATATCTTATTTTTTCCAAGTTGTATATAGTTTGACACATGACAGCAGACTAACTACACTTCATGTGGTTTATTTTAGTTTCCAGTTAATTTCAAAGACTGTCAGTAATTCACCGCAGATAATTAATCAAATTTCATGTTTTTGTTCGATAAACACAGGTTTGCAAATGATGTACAAAGGAGAGCTCGTAGGACAAATTGACAATGAATTAAAAATCCATGCTCAGTCTAACTTAGAGATTTCAAATAATAGTGAGTCCATCAGAGATATTTTGTTTTGTCCTTTTATTTTCAGCAGGAGATTCAATATTTCACTTGATTATTTCATAAGAGTAGGTCAGTATGCAGTGATTATTTATCATTTGTGATTTGATCATGTAAAATGTGTTCGCAAAACATATTCATGACTGTCAAGTGACAATGCTAAATAAAACAGCGATTTACTTAAAAAGAGACAAAAATTCATTTAGTGGAAATAATAATTTGAATGATTTAAGTGCTAATGTCGAAATTACCTACTCATCAGCTTTTTAAACCTACCATAAAACAGATATCTAATCAATACAACACTTCTTGATAGATTCAAAGAATCAAAATAATCACAACTGCAACAATAGGCGATGTTGTGAGAGAAATAATTTTAGATCAGTGATACATATGAACTATCAAATTATCGTTGATGTCCTCCAAATATTTTCTGTTACTTGCCTAATTCATAAAAGTTTGGTATCTTCGAGTCACTGTCGGTGGACCATTCAATATTCCACAATTTATCAGCCATCCTATTCGCATTATCATGAAATTCTCCTCCTCAGGCATCCATTCAAGAAATGAACATAAACAGTATTTTAGTAGAAATTGATCGATTCGAAGTAGAACACCTAGAACATCACATGAAGTACATTCATTTTGTTCATTTATTGGAATTCATGACAATGGGGTAGCATTACTGTCTAGTAGTTAGTTCAATTGTGTGTGTAATGTCGTCAAGATACTACCGGTCTGTTGGTTAACTTTAAACTTTTTCAACCAGCGTTTCATAATTTAGACATTCTTCACAGTTCATTGGATAGAAACCCTAATCACGTCATTGATATAACAGTAGGGATCATTGAAACTGTCACTTAATTTACCCATTTCATTTAAATCTCGACAATATAAAGATCAAACGTGCCTTAACTTATTCCGTTTCAATATGTGTCGAATGAAACGGATATTCAATATACAGGTATACATAAACACGAATTTTTTTTCGCTTTCATTATTTCAGAGGAATTATTGGCTTTGAGACAAACTTATCATAAACAAGATAATGGTGAAAGTATGTATCCATTAAATGACTGTTTAATTACGCGTGAAATATTAATACTTACACCAACATTCATTAAAATTTGCTAACATGTTCTCTGTCATGTTTGCTGAATTGAGTTCTTTTCAAAAACTAACAGAAATAACACAGCGTAATCCATTGATTGTTTACACAATGATTGAAAATTAGAAAGCAGTTAATGTTAACAGACACAAACTAGAATTGACATGTAACGAATAGATCACTATGGATTAATTAGGTCATAACTACGTTTCAATCATGGATAATGGAATGTAGAGATATATTTTCGTTATTAGGCTTCGATGGAACTTGATTGGAAGTTTGTATTTAAAAGAAGTAAATTTGTGTTACATACCATACAGCCATTCCTAAATATTGTTCATTCAAATTAAGAAATCCTTATGTCGATCATTCTGAAGCTATTCATTACTCTTCATTACCGATTACTGATGATCAATGAGTTGCATAGACAATTTAGTTGCCATGCTTTATTTGTAAACACACTCCACAACTCATGTTATGTGTACTAAAGGTAATTCTAGAGAATATTGAGCAAATGTGAACACCTCCCAACCTATCAAATACAATCAAAAGCTTGATGATTTATTGTTTCAACAAGAAAACGTGGTCGTTATGCAGCTTGGAAAACTAACAATCTCTCATTCGTTTCGAATGATGCATGATCGTTTCATTTACAAGACATTCAGTAGATTACATTTATCACGAATTCAAATTAAGAAAACCTTTGAAATAAAAAAGTAAATATCTGCCTAATTTTGATCACGTTGTTTGTAGGCAAATACAGTATCAGATCTAATAATGACATGATCACAACTTATCTATCAAGTTCTAAATATCGACGGTTTTCTGTTTACAGGTTTTACATTCACGGTAACCAGTTTGATATATCCGAATGGGAAGATAGCGTTCTATTATGATGATGTAAGTTGCACAATCATGAATCATAATATGGTTTTGTCCCAACTGCTTCAGATTATTCTCTTACTTCGTGCATATCAATACTGTCGAATACATCAAGATACATAGAACACTATGGAACATCATAATTTTGTGATGTACAAACAGAGTATCTGACCCTATGATTAACTTCTTCATGACACACTTTATTCTAGCACTTTTTAAAAATAAAGAATTATAAGAGGTGAAAAGTTATCAACAAAACTTCTGACGTATTAGCTCCCATTAAAGACAAACAGTGTAGGTTGGAATACTTTCTGGAACAGTCATATTCTGTCAAACATTACTACATCTTGCGTAGATCAGCTGTTGAAAAATGTCACTGTAGAATAGTATGAGAAATCAATTATCAAAACCTTGATCGTTTCTCAGTGTGTAGTTGTTCGGATGTCAGTATTTAGTACTTTACTGTAAGTGTGATTAGTCGTCTTCAATCTATGAATTTGTGCCACATCTGACGTAGAATGATGAACCACAGTGATAATCCAGAGAAACGTTGCGCAATTTAAGTGAACCGTTCTCCAAGAGACGATTAGCAACCACGAAATGCTTGAGCCTCCAGTATTTATGGAAAGAATTCTCTCGTAAGATGATTGTTAATCGGTAGAAGTGAGTAGATTTACACTGTATCTCCTCGTGTAAACGGTCTCATTCACTTCGAACAATCACAGATAATCATGTTATCGTGTGTCGCCTAATTTCATGATAAATAGATCACTCAACAGAATTTAGTGAAGTTGACAACCGATGTGATTCAGTGAATGTCACTTGACTAGATAGAGCAAATTTCTAAGGAAAGTGAGGAGACCAGTATGATCATCTTGAACAAGAATCTTTGTCATCTAATAAGATAATGCATATGACGACACATTTTTCAACGGTTAGACGGCTATGATATGGGTTGTTATGTGTTGATGTATCTTGACTCACATTTTCATTATTTCTTTTCAGGTTTCTAAGGCAACTAACGGAATTCAACTGCAATCGAACATTTTAGGAGTAATTAATTGTGGGGAAAATGGAGGTAACAAACTTTATTTATATTCTGATTCAAACTGACCTACATGGCTAATCATCTGTTAGCTTTATCTCCCTTTTCATTTATACGCAACAATAATTAAATCTCGATAATGTAATAAGAAGACGAAGATTATCAGAACTATGTGATATATTAGCGCAATACATTTTGAACAATCTGATCACACATATACTTGTTAAGAACATTTATATATAAAAATAAAAGGTCAACTAGACTGGTAATAAGGTTAAGAAATAAACAAGGATAATAATGATAAGATAATGTGAAAACAAAAAAATTTGACACCTAATCACTCTGGATAATAAGCATTTATTACCAGGGTAGGTTTAAGGAGAGAACAAACTGTTTTTGAATACACAAAGGGGGTTTGAATTTTCGTATGGCTAAGGCTTCAATAAACCTCAGTATACGCCCTTTTACACTTTTAAACAACACAACAAAAGCTGAGTTAAGATCAATCTTATGACCTGTTTCGATTATGTGTTTAGCAACAGAGGATGATGGATGTTTATCCTCTACTCTTATTGGGTCCTTCGACTGTATTTGTTTTTGCAACCATTTTGGTACATGTTCACCCACCCTAATTTTCAGATCACGATTGCTCCTCCCTATGTATGTGTGACCACACACACATTTAAATTGGTAAACGCAGTGGGATGTGACACAATCGTTTTCATGTCGTCTAGGTTTTGAATGAAGCATGGACCTCGTTCTTTCTTTGATTATGACCTTTGCTGCACAATATGTTTTGTTGATGACTGATTTAAGCCTTTGTTTCAGTAAAAGGCTATTTGAATCACCTCTAAATGGTAAGGTGATGTAAACAGGCTTTTTCTCTACCAAGGCTACAGCAGGTCTCGCTGTGCCCATAACTTTCCATCTATTGATAAATTTAGGTGGATAACCATTCCTGATTAATGTCATGGTTAACAACTTAACATCGTCATCAATAGCATCGTTTGTGCAAATACGACGAAGCCTGTTAAAAAGGCACTTTACCAAACCACGTTTGTATTGCACAGAGCAATAACTATAGTAACTAAGATATTGACCCGTCCACGGTTTTCGAAAAATGGATCGTTTTATTGAGCCATCTTCTCGTCTGCTTAGAAGTACATCTAGGAAGGGGAGTTGATCGTTCTTCTCCTCTTCGCATGAAAGACTGATATGGTTTTGGATAGTGTTAAATTTATTCAATAGGCAGGTTATGTCTTCCATTCTTTCGCCAATTACTAAGATATCGTCCACATATCTCTTATAAAGTGACATGTTTTCGATTAAGTCTTCAGATAAATTTTCCACATGTGCCATAAACACATCTGCTAGTAATGGCCCTAACGGACTACCTATGATCAAAAGTTGTGGACAGTGGACCATTGAATTTATCTAAATTTAAATCAGCTCTCTGCGTTTTCATTTCAACAACCATCATCATCACAAAAACGATTTGGGTTGTTGTCGTCAATTCTTGATCGTGTTGTTTCCATTTTCTGTGCCAAACATCATCAACAAAGAATTCGATCATGCATGTCTGCTGACGCTTGTCTGTACTGAAATACGGATTAATATAATCAAGACGTGTTGATTTCTTCATAGTTAAAGTTTGGATGAATATCTAGTGATATCGTCCACATATTTTTAACGATCGATGATTGAACAAAATGTCAGTAATTTTCCTTTGTACAATTTATAAAGCAATTTTACTTCTGGCTAAAACATACGTTCCGGAAGAATGGATTCATAGTGGCACGTTGGTGGAACATGAAGTTCTCGGGGGTATGTTCATCTCGTTTTATCAGAGTTGACTATTTTCATACATGAATGCTTCACTTTTATTTCGTAAAATTGAGCATTTTTGTACAATATTAGTTCTTTAATAAATAATATCCAGCTATCATTATCAACCGATGTTATACTACACGTGAATTCGCTGTTGGGTACTATGGAAGTCCTCTATTCCATGGATTTTATTTGAACAAAATGTGACAAAACGATGGATGAGATGGAAGTGTCCATTGTTATTCCAATTTGTTCATGTGATATCGAATGTTGTTGAGGTAATGAAATCACAGAAACATTCCATAAAATCGTAATCCTAATTTCCAAACACTATACTTCATCCTTTTCATCTGATAAATTGAATCTATAGATAAGTCACGTGTTCGGATTACAATCTATGATAGGCAGTAGATACTTGTATAGTATCAAAAACACTGGAGATTTTCATGGTATGAAAGCGTTTTCTTTCTCATTAGTATATACAATGAGGAATCACAAAAACTTTCAAGTTCGCCATCTGTTAGACTATTGAAATACCATGTTGACAAATGAAAAAATCATTCTGTAACTTTGTGTTTTGATCGACTTCAATGACCGTTGAATAAAATGTCATTCGATATCGATGAATTTTTATTCAATTCCAACATGTTGTCAAGCAATGTGACTGTCATTGAAAGCGTTCTGAATTTTGCATCGCGCTATGTGATGACAAATTCACAGTGAATGAACTAGTCACTTTAATCCGATATCACCATCATATCATCGAGTTATAGTTATATGTTGAGTTGTTCACTTATCTTTTCGTTTGACAACTTGACATTCAATCATCTCATTCTTTTCACTGTAGATTGTCCAAAACAGAAAACGATTAATGCATGTGAAGATGCGAAAACACCAGATAGAACGTGTATTTGGTGCGAAAACTCCGATATGTGCACTGCTAGTAATGACAAGGATAATCATGACTTCAAAGTGGATGGTTGCCATGTTGAAGTAGGTAATTGGTAGACTTCAGAGGTTATTCTTAAAATTATCATATTCCACACTGTAAAGCCATTTACTCAAAAGATTATTTTATTGCTATGTATAAATAATAATTTTTGTTCTTCTCTCAGTGCATAGATCAAATTATTGCGTAGATTGACAATGTCAGTCAGATATTAATACAATGCAGTGTTTCCATATGGATATTTTAATGATGAAGTATAATCGGCTTGAAGTTGAGTAGCATGCTTAGATGATCAGTAAGAGTTTCGTAGACTCCCACTATTCAAGTACAGGAAGCAGTTTTTGATTCTGTTTTGAGAAATGCATATCCTGGATTGATTGCTTCAATGAAGCCATCAGTTATAATTCTGTTGATTGATATTTAGAATAAGATGTGACATTTAGAAAACAAGTTGCATCAGTTGAAGGATAATATGTACTCATCACATTGATTGTCAAGTCGGTAGCAGATAGTCTAAATCATTAGTCATTGATCACATTGTACAAATATGAATTATTTAACTAAGTGATAAATTCACTTCAGTCATCAATCTTAACAATGTTGTACAGGGAATGATGCGTTATTTAAATAACATTTCATATTTATTAATATTGCCACCGTTTTATTCTCCAGGCGATGTCGAATGTCAATGATACGAGTGAAGCAACACTTATCAGTCAAAGAGAAACAACGACAGATATCACTGAACCTGACTTAACAAATGAATTGACCAAAACCAATCAAATAACTGAATCATATTTGGTAAATATTATATATTTAGTAATATTTCAAATGTTTCCTTCCTCAGAGTAGTTCGATTGTCGACGCTTCGAGTGAGCCAACACTTCCATATCACGGAGAACCAACGACAGGTATCACCGAACCTGACTTAACAAATGAATTGACCAAAACCACTCAAACAACTGAATATCAATTGGTAAGTATTAGACATTTTGTTATTATACTATTCCGTTTTTTCCAGAATATTACTGAAAGAATGACTGAAAACAAAGAACAAAGAAATTCAATCAATTCCCTGTACATTGTTATACCACTTGTTGTCGTTTTTTTCGTTGTATGCATTGTCTGTGTCATTTGTCTGTGGTTATACAGGAGGAAGAAATACAATCCATGAATCACAAAAACGTCTTATCACTTACTTTCATCATGCTGACATTGTTATTTTCATTTTGTTTGTATTCAAATACGTCTTATATTGTGTTAATCATTCCAATGAATTGGAAACTGTTTCATGGAACTACATAACACTTTCATGATTGTTCACTTAATAATTGATGTACATTGTTGATAAAATAAAAAATACGGCTTTTTATACCCACGTAATTGTTTTCATTCAATAAAAACTGCTTAGTTTCACTAGAGTTTACTACATTGAGTTCGTGAATTAACAGTATCGTGTATATATGACTTTGTAACAACTGCAATCAACAACCAGTCCTCTATGAATGCCCAATTTGTTGAAGTCTCACTACTGGAAAATATCATTTGAAATTGACAACGATCATTGTTTTGAAATCGAAAATATGGCAAATAACTCTTTACTTTAAAGATGTTCCCAGGATACCTATACTCAACACTGAATGGATAAACTGTTTCCCAGCGTTTCAGGGCCCCTCTGAACTTTTTCGAGTAATACTTTGGATTTCCTAAACAGAAATAGCTACAAATGACCAACTAAAGACATTGTATCAGTCCGCATCGTTGACTATTAGTCTAAGCTATGTAGTTGGATGTAAAATTACTGATTGAGGCTAGAGCAATACACGCAATCAATGGTCAGAGACAGTTGAGATGGCGTAAAGTTGGTCGCGATAGTACAGTTGCATTTGTTTTCCATATTCCTTTAAATTTTAAGTTAAGTGTCATTCCTTTCTTTTCATCCTTGGATCATATTTATTCCCTTCAAACTGTGATCCATATGTTCCAATTTTTATTTCTGGTATTATGACTCATTTAATGCTTCCTATCTTGTTTTCTTTCCGTATACAGAAACAAAGTGTGACAATCCAGGTCGACACATACTCCTGCCACGCTCTAAGTTAATAATAACTGACTGAATAAATTGTTTGTCAAACTGTGAGTTATACTGTAAAACTTTACCACGTAGTTATAATAGAATAGTTATTCAGGGTGAGTGACGCAAACTTGAGTGCCGCTAAGTTGAACGTCTATGTTTATTTATTTAAAAAAAACTTTGGCACAAACAGGCACCAGATATATATGCGCGACGCAAATCTCATTGTTTGTTTTTTGAAGAGTTTTCTTTCTGATCTTGATAAAGTTCATAGTATTTCTGACATATATATTCGAACTTGACATCACTCGAAGCACTTTGGGGAAGTTCCTTAAGTGTCAAATCTAAATGCTTAAGTGAAAAGTTAGGCTCCATTATATCACCTATTAATTTGTTTCGTTTTTTCTTTTGTTTACTGTCATGATGTGTCTCTACATCCTGAGTAGCTGAAACTTCGCTCTTATCAACCATCTATGATTTAGAACTTGTCAGTAGCGCAATTGACGTTTTTACCGCGACAACAAAATGTTCCATCCCACCAAACACTAAACGTTGTACGGTATAAACTGGATCACTGTTTCTTTAAATCTGCCTTTCAACTTCTATAAAGGGTCCTGACATAATTGGAAGTTTGTTCGCTCGATAACTAACTACAGTTAAGTCGCTTGATGACTAGATAAATGATTGTTACTGAAATGTACATCTCATATACCCTCGTATATAATTATCGACCTAATTCACGTTGGCGAATAATGGAATCAAGTAGGCCAAATATGTGAATGGAGTTTGAATGCTTATATTTCGTACACTGTGATGTTTAAATAAATCAATGACTTCTTTGCATTGATGACTGTTGTAGTTTTGAATTCCAAATACAATACATTCGTTCGGGCTCATCTGATACTTCTTGATTAAATTGCGTTATTCCTGGGATTACTAGTTTATACTACAATTCGAATACTTCTGATCATCATATTGGAGTCGCGATTGAGCCTGTAATGGAACGGTTCGATGTAAATTCAGATTATCGACCTTATTCACGTTGGCGAATAATGGAATCAAGTAGGCCAAATATGTGAATGGAGTTTGAATGCTTATATTTCGTACACTGTGATGTTTAAATAAATCAATGACTTCTTTGCATTGATGACTGTTGTAGTTTTGAATTCCAAATACAATACATTCGTTCGGGCTCATCTAATACTTCTTGATTAAATTGCGTTATTACTGGGATTACTAGTCTATACTACAATTCAAATACTTCCAATTATCATATTGGCGTCGCGATTGAGCCTGTAATGAAACGGTTGGATATACATTCAAATTTTATTGCTTTTGAGGAGTACATGGAGAGGTTCGAAATCTGGGCTATGACCAAGGAAGATGATGAAGATTTTAATATGGTGGCCCATTTCCTTAAATTCATCAGAAAAAAAAACATACAGACTTATAAAGACTTTAGCACTTACAGACAAACCGATTTCACTCCCCTATGCAACTCTCAAGCAACTACAGTTGGATCATGTCAAGTATACAAATTCCGAATGCGGTAAGAGAGAAAAATCCGATAAAATGGCTCGACAAAACATCAGGAATTCCACTACTTTACTAAGTCATCGCAGTTCGATGCGTAATCAAAGTTATTCAGATAATACTTCATTGAGCTGTGAAACAGTCCATGAAGATGAGCACGAGTTAAGTAAATGCTTGTTCTGTGGCAAGTTTCATCCATGTAATTCAAGTGTATTTGGTAATTCTAAATGCTTTAAATGTGGTGAAACTGGACACATTCAGTCAGTTTGTAATACCATGCTTCATTTTGCTGAAAGTAATGCTAAGATGGATACTTCTAATGATCAGTTATCATTATCTAGAAGTGGTATAACGTAGTCCAGAGTTAAATGAAAATCAGAATCATTGTGAGACAAAAGTTTTTAACCAACGAACCTATCGGATTTCTCATGTTATTGAACCAGATATGGTTTGTGGTGGACCAAAACGTATGATAACAAAAATTAGCAACAAAAATTTTACGTCTTAAATTTATGTAACAATTAACAGTTAATAAGTTAATTACACACAGATAAAAATAAGGGACGTCACTTAATTCTTCAGGCTATTGCGTGTTCAGTTGAGTTTGGTCTAGATAATCCACAATTATAAAAGATTAGTAATTCCAATATGGACGATATAGATCCAATAGGTTTACCAAGCGTAGAATTCAATAAGAATGTCACGATTGTCTATAAATGGAGATGGTATGCAATTAATATTTCATTTAACATATTAGCAAACATGGCAGAACGATGCAGATGTGAGTTAGAGTATATTTATTGGGGAGCAGTAACAATGTCACGATATGTTGTACTCAAAACGGAAGGAAGTCGAATTACAAGTCTTTAGAGTAATACACTTAGACAACAAGTACAATTGTTTAATGCTAAATGTACAGAATATGAAAATACATGCAAAAACTATGAAAAATTATTTACAAAATAGGTTTTAAGGTTCTATCTCCACATAGCTCCCCAAAGAGTGTCCGGAGGTAACACTGATTACAATATGAACAACAAAAATTGAGAAATATTGTGTATAAATGTACATAAAATAGTATTTGCTGTAATAACGGAAAAAAAATGGTGGAGATAGGAATAAATGACACGTTAATAATATAGGCTATGCTACGCAAAATGTAACTGAAAAACGAGCATTAAAAAGTTTAGGTTTGTTAATAATAATACTAATAAAATGTGCAAAACTGTTAATAAACTCATAATAAAAAAAATTGGGTAGTTTTTTTTTGGTGTTTTTGTTTTGTGTACAGTTTAGTTAGCGTTCACTCGTTTATTACTATGACAATTTTTCTTATTAAAAAAAAAATTGGCAAAACCAGTGATAATAAATAAATGTAGTTATTAAATATACATGTAGGGAAAATAAATATCTTTTATTAGAAGATTGCGTAACTTCACAAAGTAATGCATACAACTGATTGATTGTGTTAGTCAATAAAATGTACATAACGTTTGGGTTTTTTAATAAGTCTCCCAGATCGTGTTAAACAAGAGGGTGTAGTGCTGAGTTTTTCCTCTTCCTCTTGTTTCTTAGCAATTGATGGGAGTGATTGTTTGTTCGCCGTATTGTCGTCTGTGGCTTGAGGGGGTTCGTAGAAAGCTGGTTTTATTCGGTCTATGGAAATTGTTTCATTGTTCCCGTTTTTGTTGATAATGAAATATTTGCGAGTGCGTTTTATTACTTTATACGGACCTTCATATGGTGATGTCAGTGGCTTTTTCACCGCGTCTACTCGAACAAAAACAAATTTGCACGTTTCTAAATATTTATCGAGATGGACTGGGTTGTTGTATTCTCGAGGTGGTATTGCTCTAATGTTCTGCATCATTTGTAATAGGCAACTTGCGAAGTGAGTAGCATCTCCGTGAGTTGTAGGTTCATAGTTGACTAGTTGGCCGGGTAACGTTAGAGTTGTACCATAGACTAACTCGGCGGCTGTACATCCAATATCTACCTTTATGGTTGAACGAATACCGAGGAGTACAAGCGGTAACGCATCGCTCCACTTTGATGAGTCAGCTTGCGCCATCAGTGAGCTTTTCAATTGGCGATGGAATCTTTCAACCATGCCATTCGCTGCTGGGTGGTAAGCTGTGGTTCTGATGTGGTTAACGCCCAGAAGTCTTGTAAATTCCTGAAACAGGGTAGACTGGAACTGGGGACCATTATCAGTTGTGATGGTTGTCGGTACACCGTAGTGCGATATCCATCGGTCTAGAAAAACGGATGCTACAGTCTCAGCTGATGTGTCTTTGATAATAATAATAATATATTCTGAAAATAATATTTACAGAATTCACACCAGTTTACAGGCATGATCAGATTGTTATAAAAATCAACATTTAATGTAGAGAACAAACATGAATTATAAGAAAGTTTTATGTTTGCTGGTTTAGTAATTGATAAACAGTTTAAATATGGCATATATCACGGCAAGCCAATGCAATGGCCCATCGAGTGAATCTGTTTATTGCCGTGAGGATGTGGGTAAAAGAATTTGACGAAGGTAGAGGTCCTACTAAATCCAAATGGATATGCTGAAAACGTCTATCAGGAATAGGAAATTCTCCGATTGGACTGATAGTATGCTTTTGGATCTTACTACGTTGACACTGAAGGCAACCACGTGTCCATCGTTTAATATCTGAATTGATTTTGGGCCAAACAAAACGTTCAGTTATCAGCTTTTTAGTAGCTCGGATGCCCGGATGTGATAAACCATGCAAGTGTTGGAATAACTTTAGTCGACAAGCCTGAGGGACAAAAGGGCGATTATTGCCTGTTGAAGTGTCACAAATGATGGATGCGTCTGAGAAAGGAATGGGTACCGATTTTAGATTCAAGCTAGACTTTTCTCTACAGACCTTCAATTCTGCGTCGTCTGCTTGTAATTTGGCTAAGGTTTCAAGTCTGATGTCATGGTTAAGTACCGTCATATTGATGTCCTTTCTAGACAGTGCGTCTGCGACAATGTTGGTATGGCCCTTGATAAACTGAATGTCTGTGGTGAATTGCGAGATATAATCGAGTTGTCTCGCTTCACGTGGAGAATGTCTATCATATGACATATTAAATGAGAAACACAGGGGTTTATGGTCCGTCATAATAGTAAAGTCACGACCCTGTAGTAAAAAATTGAAGTGTTTGACAGCTAAGTACATAGCTAAAAGTTCTCGTCCAAATGTGCTGTACCGCTCTTGAGCAGGTGATAACCGTTTAGAGAAAAAAGCTATTGGTGTAATCATGTTATTAACCCGTTGTTGTAGCACTGCCCCTACAGCTTTTTGGGATGCATCCGTACACAGGATCAGATGCGTTTGGGGGTTAGTGTTTAGGTGTTGTAGCGTAGTAGCGTCGGCGATCAAGTTTTTCGCTTTTTCGAATGCCATTTTTACGTCAGAGGGTAACTGGAATTGTTGGTTCTTCTTTTTGCTACTCGATTTATCATTTTTAAGTAGGTCTGTTAAGGGTTGTAGAACATCGGCACAATTGGGTAAAAATCGTCGATAAAAATTTAATGTTCCAAGGAAACGACGTAGTGATTTTACTGAGGTTGGTTCTGGATAGCTGGTTATGGCTTTGACTTTATCTTCAAGTGGTTTAATTCCTTGGGAATCAATGTGGTGTCCCAGGAATTCCAGAGATGAGGCGCCAAATATACACTTCGAAGGGTTGATTACAACACCATAACTTTTGAAACGTTCAAAGAGAGTCTGTACGTGTTGAACATGTTCTTCAGTGGAAGAACTAGCGATCAAAACATCGTCGATATAGACGAACACAAAATCTAAACCTCTAGTTACTTCGTCCATAAATCTCTGAAAGGTTTGAGCGGCGTTTTTCAATCCGAAAGGCATCCTTAAGAATTCAAACAAACCAAAAGGCGTGATGATGGCCGTTTTCTCAATATCTTCAGGTGCCATCGGAATTTGGTGATATGCACGTACAAGAACTAACTTCGAGAAAACTTGCTTTCCATGTAGGTTTAAAGAAAAATCGTGTATATGCGGGATGGGATATCTATCTGGGATAGTCTGACTATTCAACCGACGGTAATCACCGCATGGGCGCCAATCTTGTTCTTTTTTGGAACCATTTGATGTGGAGAAGCCCAGGGACTGCTAGACAGCCTAATGATGCCTAGTTGCATCATGTGTTCAAATTCTCGTTCGGCAATCGCTAACTTGTGAGGTGGTAGTCTCCTGGGTTTTGCACGTGTAGGTTGACCAGTTGTAGTAATATGGTGTTGTACATGATGAACGGTGCATTCATTTTGATAATCGGCTCTTGTGATGCACTCGTATTGCGATAAAATATCATTAAAGATTTTATTTTCAGGTTTTTGAATACGGACACCATAGATTTCAGAGTCAGAAGAGATCATGCCGGTGACTTGTAAATTTGTGTTTCTGTCGATGAGTTTCTTTTTTCGCATGTCAACTAATAAGTTGTGAGCACTGAGAAAATCAGCTCCGAGGATGGGTTGTTTAACTTGAGCTACTATAAAAACCCATGTAAATCTCCTACGAAGGCCGAGGTCTAGTATGAGTGACTGCTCACAGTACGTTTTGATAATGGAGTTGTTTGCCGCAACAAGGGATAACTTAGCAGGCTTTGAGTGCCGTCGTCGAGAGATACAACGGGAGAATGCTGATTTCTGCTCCTGTATCGACTAAAAAGTCTGAGCCAGAAATACGGTCCCGGATGTAAAAGAGACGGTTTGCGATGATGCCAGGAATAGGCGCCGCCATTACTGCCTGGCCGTACCGTTTCCCTGATTCATCGTGTCAGTTGAAGAAAATGCACACGGCCGAGTACAGCGACGTGCTTTAGCCCCGTATTTACTATGGTACCAACATACATCAGAGCTCTTCTTGGGTGAACGTGAACGTCGTCGAGATGAGGATCTTCGTCTCAAAGAAGGTCCAAGCTGTCTAGCTTGAACTGTTGCAACTTTGGTTTGAAGTGACTCTAGTTGGTTCGTTAGTTGGGACAATTGTCTTTGTATAGAATTTAAATAGCCAACGTCTGCTGCTCCGTACAGCTGCATCGTGTTTATGTAGTGATTATCATGGCACACTTCCGTTACTTTATCTGCCATATCAGCCAACTCATCGAGGGAGGAAGATTTCCCCAAGGCACTTAGAATTTGTCTGACACTGCGTGGTAATCGGTTGAACCACATTTGTTTGAGAAGGGCTTCGTCTAGTTTATATGGGCCGGCAAGTTGTTTCATATGACGAAGTAGCTGGGAAGGTCTTTTGTCTCCCAGGTCACATGCGTTCAAAAGTTGTTGCAATCTTGTTTCATCCGAAACCGTTGTTCGCTGAATTAAAGCCGCTTTTAATTTATCATATGGCTCGGTTTCCGGAACCTGGTCGATAAGATCTCCAACTTCGGCTGCAATTTCGATCGGGAGTGAACCCACTACATAAGCGTACTTAGATGCTTGGGAACGTACGCCCCTGGACTGGAATAAGGCTTCTATTTGAGCAAACCAGATTCTAGGATTATATACTCCATATGGTGGGAGCCTAAATTCAGAAATAGCGTTGACTGGACTAAATATACTGTCAGTAACGTTAGATGATGAACTAAGAGTGGTTACTGGAACAGGGTCCATATCACTAAGCTTAGGTGGAGAGTACATTAAGTTAAAAATCAGATAGAGGATCGTACAATAAACAAATAAACCGTGTAGAAATGGGATAAATATGAGATAAACAAATACTAGGGCTCACCAAATAATTGTGGTGGACCAAAACGTATGATAACAAAAATTAGCAACAAAAATTTTACGTCTTAAATTTATGTAACAATTAACAGTTAATAAGTTAATTACACACAGATAAAAATAAGGGACGTTACTTAATTCTTCAGGCTATTGCGTGTTCAGTTGAGTTTGGTCTAGATAATCCACAATTATAAAAGATTAGTAATTCCAATATGGACGATATAGATCCAATAGGTTTACCAAGCGTAGAATTCAATAAGAATGTCACGATTGTCTATAAATGGAGATGGTATGCAATTAATATTTCATTTAACATATTAGCAGACATGGCAGAACGATGCAGATGTGAGTTAGAGTATATTTATTGGGGAGCAGTAACAATGTCACGATATGTTGTACTCAAAGCGGAAGGAAGTCGAATTACAAGTCTTTAGAGTAATACACTTAGACAACAAGTACAATTGTTTAATGCTAAATGTACAGAATATGAAAATACAGGCAAAAACTATGAAAAATTATTTACAAAATAGGTTTTAAGGTTCTATCTCCACAGGTTTGTCGTAATAATTCACATACTTCTGATGGAATTTCTTACAACTCTGATAATAGAATCCTGAATGAGTCAAATCATGATCAAAAACCAGATTCAGTCATGGTAGATGCTGAATTCCCTGATGATCCATTATTCTCTAATGAAATTCTTAATAAATTCGAGGAAAATACTTTAGAAAAATCAAGTTCTGATATCATAATAAATGTCATATACCCTAACAATGAATTTATCTCTAGTGATATTCCTAATGAATGTGAAAAATATGTTCCGAATGAGTCGAGTTCCAATCATATTTCTGATGTTATTGTATCAGATGTTGGATACACTCACGAACAACGTATGTTGATTGAATCTCTAGTCAGTGGTATGATGAATCAGAGGGGATAGCAAAATTTACCGAAATAATCAATGATCACCCAGAATCTAACTCCTAACCCTAACTACCATCAGTAAATATTAATCCGAATTCCTCACACAGGTTTATAACACTCATTTGGTCCGGGTCATTAGGTTGACACTCCCAAGGTCAGTCAGCGTCGCTCATAGGTCGACCATGAATCATAGTCTCACCAAATTCTTATCCTATTAATAAGCGGTGGCCCCTGTTACTTCGGTAACTACAGTTTAATCTAACAGGCAGTTTGAACCATGTGAACAGCTAGACCTACCTGTTGAATACTCTGTTCAAATTGTTTGTTTTTTGAAGAGTTTTCTTTCTGATCTTGATAAAGTTCATAGTATTTCTGACATATATATTCGAACTTGACATCACTCGAAGCACTTTGGGGAAGTTCCTTAAGTGTCAAATCTAAATGCTTAAGTGAAAAGTTAGGCTCCATTATATCACCTATTAATTTGTTTCGTTTTTTCTTTTGTTTACTGTCATGATGTGTCTCTACATCCTGAGTAGCTGAAACTTCGCTCTTATCAACCATCTATGATTTAGAACTTGTCAGTAGCGCAATTGACGTTTTTACCGCGACAACAAAATGTTCCATCCCACCAAACACTAAACGTTGTACGGTATAAACTGGATCACTGTTTCTTTAAATCTGCCTTTCAACTTCTATAAAGGGTCCTGACATAATTGGAAGTTTGTTCGCTCGATAACTAACTACAGTTAAGTCGCTTGATGACTAGATAAATGATTGTTACTGAAATGTACATCTCATATACCCTCGTATATAATTATCGACCTAATTCACGTTGGCGAATAATGGAATCAAGTAGGCCAAATATGTGAATGGAGTTTGAATGCTTATATTTCGTACACTGTGATGTTTAAATAAATCAATGACTTCTTTGCATTGATGACTGTTGTAGTTTTGAATTCCAAATACAATACATTCGTTCGGGCTCATCTGATACTTCTTGATTAAATTGCGTTATTCCTGGGATTACTAGTTTATACTACAATTCGAATACTTCTGATCATCATATTGGAGTCGCGATTGAGCCTGTAATGGAACGGTTCGATGTAAATTCAGATTATCGACCTTATTCACGTTGGCGAATAATGGAATCAAGTAGGCCAAATATGTGAATGGAGTTTGAATGCTTATATTTCGTACACTCAGAGATGTGAACATACAATCAGAGAAAGGAAGTTGAGAAAGCAAGGAGTAGAGAGTGAAACGAAACGAAATGACGCTCAGCTGAGAAGACGAGTTAACCAGTCCAATTTAGCCAAGCGTTACTCAACGTTTATATTCCGATCAAAAAATATTACACACACGTAATGAATAGGGAAAGCAAATAACACATATACGATCACATGGAAACAATAGGGGTTAATAAGTGAATAAGTGAAAAGGTCAAATTGTGGCTTTAGAGGAATGAATAAATTGGTCTGTCCGAAAAGTAGAATAGCCTATGTGTGCGGCAATGCGTTTCTGAGTGATAATTGATGGGTCATGCTATGTGTGTTCACAAACGGGTATGAAAGTTACGAAGTCACGTTTTTCAAAAAAGATGTTACGGTCAATAATCGTATTTGTGCAATTATGAGAGCGAATATTCACAAAGACTAATTAGAAAACAAGTCTGTGTTAACATTCCCAACAGAAGTAAAGACCATCGGTTTGGTCCTTCTCAAACTTGAAATAATCAAAAGCAAGTCTGATGTAGTGTCAAACTAGCCATCAGTCGTCTTTTTGAATGGTTCAGAGGTAATTTCGACAGTGTCTTCTATCGAAATATGTATAAGGATATTGAAAATTCTGTCGCGGAATCAAATTGAAGAGATTCCATTGCCTCCTCCTTGACCAGATATTTTATCTTGTAGCCGTAAATAAATCCCCAAAATAAATAGCTCTGTAAGCGTTTGACATTGGATGCTGACCACATTAATTTTAATGAACTCAACTAGCTGAAGGCGCTCGGTCAGGCATTCGCACCAGATCACGAGTTGAAACGGCGTACTCAACGTCTCCCGCGATCGCTAGCCAGTTTAGATTAGTCACTTCTCGATGTAGTGACAATCTATCAAATATATCTTCCAACCTCTTCGTTTCTGACTTTAAATGTTACTTTTTTGGCGCGATTCAATTATCGATGGTGTTACTGGTAGTGTTGTCAAGCTACAATACCTCTGGTATCCCCAATCGAAATATCATTTATTGAGTTTAAATTGCTATATAAATGCTCATGTACATTAGAGTAAATCTTGGTGACTATTTAAATGAAATTAATTGTCCAATTACATGTGTTGTTCTCGTGTAATTTAGTTTAGTCGTCTTCTTACCATATATCACTGACAGAGTCCTCCGTACAATAACAACATATGTATGCTATTTTACATTTATTACTGTTGTACTTGTATGAATATTAGTGATTGAGAATGGCTGACTGACTGCGTGTATATTTATTCTGCTTGCCTTATTGCTAGTTGACTAATTGATTTGATGATCCACTTCACTATTTATGTATATGAACAATTCAATTCTGTTCACTCTCTCGCTCACTCGCTTGCCCACTTGCCTTTTGGCACTATTCTTTCAGGCTTGCTTAGCGTACCTGTAATCTTGATTATCTGTGCGTGGTGCAACAATCAAGTTATTTAACACCTCATATTTACCTTTTGATTAGTTCACAATTTGAGCGTTATCTAGTGACGGTGATCAGGGCAAACTGTATACGAAGTTTAAGGACTGTATTGAATAACGACCACCACAAATGTGTGAGAAAAACATAAATTCAATATCCTTTACAGTTACTCGTTAGATGGATACAACTCCATATCATAACATTGAATGCGTCTTCATGTTATTGACAGTAACCATTTTGTTGGAGTTTCAAGGTCCTTCGAGAAAATGAATAACAAGATCATTAAACCTACTAAGGTTTACAGAAGCAACAGTCATAAAATTATTTAGACCGTTATTGTGTTGTTAATTCAAATAAGATTACTTGTATTCTGTGTAAACGGCCGTAGTCTTATTTATAACGGGCCAGTTAACCACAATAATGAAAATGGTTGCACACACTTGGAAATGAAGTTTTTCAACAGGTAGATGTAATTTGTTCGATTGATTTTCTCTCATTCGACTGATGAAGCGAAGATTTTATAAGTTTTGAATTCTGTATGATTTCACAGATTGAATATAAAACAACACCAAGTTCTATCATTTCTGTTACATCGCGCAAAAATTTCAACGTGAAAATTATAATTTTTTTATTCTGAGTGTAAGTTATCTGACCATTTTCTTAACAGAAACATATTTCTGTTGACCTTAAATGTTGACAGAAATATCAATGATTATACTTTGTTGTCGTATAGCACCGCATTCCACCTTATCAACCAAACAATATGGTATTCTCTATTATGTATAATTGACGTAATATGAATGTTAGCTAGAATAAAAGGAACATTGCTTTCTCATAACACGATGTGTCTGTTTGGCTGATATTCATCCACACACACAGAGGGAGTATGAGAGAAATTCTCATTTTACAAAGGATTACCACTTTTCTAAAAACAAAATGAAGTGAAAACAAATCTTTTGACTGTCGATCAATAGAATCTCTTACTTCAGCTATGAATGAATACTATAACACTTTACCATTTATTTTCAAATGCGTTTTGTGGGTCTTTTTCATCGAACCATCCAGTTTACACGTCCTTAGTTTTTCAATCTATGGGACTTCCATTATCGATCCTGAGTCTTTGAGACTCGACTAGTTGTAACTTTCTGTGTACATTGGTCTATGTGACTGTGATGAATTATGCTGACTGTAGTCTCTATAATGTATAATAATAATTAAACTGGGAGAGCATTTCAGGAAATTGGTTAACATATGAGATGCAGTGTCTGTGAGTTGCTATCAGATTTTGGTTTTCTCACTACAAAAGGCTGCAATTGACATGATACTATGTATAGACTAGACGATTCACATACATCTTCATTTGAATCGTTCCATATATAATTCAGTTAATGCTAGTTTGACTTCATCACGCATCATTAAGCATTGTACAGCGGGAACCTAATTTATTAAACGTATTAGTTCCTGCGGAAACATTCTATTGTTGACAAAATGTATGTTTGTGTTAAATGCTGATTTAGCTTGGATATCATAGCATCAATAAACTTAAAAAGTTACATTGCATATATACTTAGCACGATCGAAATCCTAAAACAATTTTGCCGAAATTGGATCTTGCTTGTAACGTGGACGCGTCGCATCTTTGAAAAATATTTTGCAGACTACACTGAATATCTGAACAAATGAATTGATATACAGTTTTGAAGGTTTTATTTACTAAAGAACCCTGCTTGAGATGCATATTGTGAAACAGTAACTTTTCTAACCGCTAGACTATGCCTGAAAAATGACATGTACCTATCCTAGCAGAAATATATAATATCATATCAATAAATTAACATCTCACACACCCAGGAACTGGTTGACACATTGCATGTTGCCTTTGGTTCATTACTACTTGTCACAACTGGTCTTATATACGTCTAATCTATTGTATGATCTAATTCCTGAAAATAAATCAGGCTACTTTTGCTATTTTGCTGGATGATTCGCTGTTTTGTACCTAACATACATACATTTTCAATCAGACTAGCCCTATACATTTCAACTGAACCACTCTTTAAGCGTTTTTGACATAAGATAATAATAATAGTAATGTATTCTGAAAATAATATTTACTGAATTCACACCAGTTTACAGGCATGATCAGATTGTTTTAAAGACCAACATTTAATATAGAGAGCAAACATGAAATATAAGAAAGTTTTTTGTTTTCTTGTTTTTTAATTAATAAGTAGTTTGAATATGGCATATATCACGGCAAGCCAATGCAACACCAGTTAACTTGTCATTTTTTCTTAAGTGGATAGCCTGATGTTTAATCAACGTTGTTCTGTAGGGTTATTTCCAGTGCCAGAGCGAGTTATTGATAATTATCTACAACTAGAGTAAGTAAGATTAAAGCAAAGAGCACGGAACAACAAAACAATGATAGCTAGTAAGAGGTAAAGCACTTAAAGTTCCGATAATCTCACTTGTAAAGTAAGATACACTTGCAGGCGCTAGAGCATTTAATGCATTTTCAGAGGAGCAAAAGGCATTAATGGATCGAACAAACAATGGGAGAGAGTTTAACGTACGGATAGTTTTAGGTAAATTATTCCAGAGCCTAGAAAACTTACAGGCAAAGTAATTCATAGAGAGAGAAGATCTAGAATATGTTTGTTTCGCTAAAAGATACAATTAAAAGCTTTATACTAGAACGTGCTACTATGAAAAAGTGTGTACTTTACAGACGAAGTGTATTAGATTCAAAAAGTTATATGGTACCTCACGGTTCTAATTGCCTTTGCCACATATTTTTCAATATCACTAAGCTAACTACAGTAATTTCTTGTGAAAAGTGTATACTACTGTTCCTCATATTCCTAACTGTAGTTATACAAGTCGTCTC